GCTAATCGAGTTGTGTTTATTAAAAAGCAGGCATCGAGTCATCTTTTATCAATGACAATAGAAGGAGCAGGAAACTACCTTGGCCACCATCACACCCTTCCCTATGCATTAATTAAGAGTCCTCTCCAAATCACCCTATGGAAAGAGACTGATGTTTTGAAGAAAATATGCTGAGCAGAGCAGCCACAGTTCAGCACCAAAGCATTAGGCTTGAGCACTTTGGGAATTGTTTTCTCCAGCAAAACAAACTGTTTTTTAAAATGTGAAATGTATAATTAATTCAGAATAAGCAGAGGCTCATCCTCTGTTGTACTCAACCTGGCATAGTTCACACTGCTGAGCTCTTCCTCCTTAGAGAAGCTCCCAGACCCACCTTTCTCTGGGCCCCTCCACCCTCCCTCCTGTCCTTGCTCTTTCCGTCCTCAGGCTCTCTGCCTGCTTCTGAATCTGCCAGCAGGGAGCTCCCTACCACGCAGGCCTGGGCACCTTCCCTCCTATCTTTGTGCACCTCTCCCTGTGGATTTTGCTCAGTCAGGGCTTCAGCTGTGACCTATATTCTGAAGACACCATTTCCCCAGGGGTTCCAGGTCCACATTTCCCAACAGTTTACACCTGTGCCACTCAAAAGTGTGGTCCAGGGGCCAGCATCATTGGTAATCCCTGGGAGCTTGTTAGAAACACAGGCTGCCAGGCTCCAGACTCCTTAACCAAAATTCATTTTAATAAGATCCCAGTGATTCATGCACATCCTAAAGTTTAGGGAGCACTGGTCTCTCCTACCCATCTGGGCACCCCATTATAGCTCAAATTTAACATGTCCACACTGAAAGCAGACCCTTTCTTTAAACCATGGATTTCTTCTCTGTTGTCCATCCCCGTGAATAGTTTCTGCCTATTGTACAGGGTGGTTGTGAGCTGGGGGAGGTCAATATCCCCACCATGTGGCTGCCCCACCTTATAATAGGCTCCAAATGTCCCAGAGCTGGCTCCACCTCACCCTGGTCTCCTGGGTCAGGATACCGGGAAGATATCATGTTCTGTGTGGAAGCCGACATAAATGTTAGGGCCAGGATAAAAAGGCTCCCACCAACATTCCTGTGACAGGGCTGATTTGTTTCTACCTGGTGCCTTCCCCTGCTGCAGCCAGAGCTGCTCAGTACTGCCCCAGGCTTGCTGCTATCCCTACTCCAAACCTGAGGGCCCTTTGTTGGGACAGCATGAGTCCCAAATCCTGATGGTCTCTGCTCATCAAGAAGGTACCTCCAGAGCCCCAAGAGGTCCACTCAGAAAGTGCAGATGTAGCCGGGTTCATGGCTGCAAGTTCCGCTCTTGGATATGATGTAATTGGGCTCCTGGGGTGGTGACACAGTGCAATTCTTTTGCTTCCCCATGCCGAAAAGCTACTTTGATGCAAACTGTGTTAGGCAAATCTCTCTGCTGCAACCTGTTTAGCTTGAATAAAGCCAGGAATTAGGTAATAGGAAAATGGGGTAGATTATTGACTCAAAAGAGCTGGAGAGAGAAGAGTCTGGGGGATTTCAGGAGCTGAGAGCTGGAAATGTCCTTCCAGAACATTCTCCTCCCTGCTTTCAGAATCTCCTTCACTCTCCCAGGTTTCCCACTTGGCAAGGGACATTGCTGTAGCCAGATATGACATGTGGCATCCCAGCTTAGCTGCACACAGTGGAAGATAGTATCTTTCTTTCAGGGATTCTGGTTAGCCAGACTGGGCCTCATGCATGCTCTAGATCATTTTTGTGGCATGAGCCCAACCCTTCACCCAGCTTAGGATGTAGTTATGCATAGCATGGTTGAGTGATGAGCAAGCCCATTAGTGTTCTTGTTACAAATGTATCTGGGGGCTTATTGATGTGTGTGATGACTATGCACTAAAAATATGAAGTGTTCCACGTTATTGTCATTACAACAAGTATTAAGAGAACATAGCTCTGTTTGTTACTCACCCTGTAGCTAACAGCATCACAATGCTTTAATGAAGAGATGATGCGAAAAACTCCCCACCCCTTTTCTCCCACAACAGATACTTAGTTCAGGGCTTGGGGAAACCTCTTTTTACCTCCTTGCTTTCTATGATGACTCCATACCACACATGACCTAGGCCAAAATTCACCACCCAATCTGAAAGTATCTGCACTCTGCCGGCAAGAACCACTGCATTCTGAGCAATATGCTTTTGTTTATTTTAACTTCACTTAAATGCACAAGTAATTGTGCATGTTAAAAACTTCTTTGACATCATTGTTCTGATAGATGCCTTATAGTCAAAACAAATTGAAGAACTTTTCCTAATTTATATTTGCATTATGTTTCTTCTTATGTATCCTTAGAAATGCCATTACATGTTTAGTGGTATATTTGATAGAGAATGGATGAGTAGACCTATTTTTTAAGTTTATTATGACAATAACATCTAGATTTTTTCACCCCAAAGGAACACTAGGTACAAATCATCCATTGCTTCCAGTTCTGAGAAGAAGCTAAATGTTTTGTTTCTGGCAATAATAGCAGGACAAGTTCTGCTTAGATGTTGCCAATAGCTTCTATGGTTCCCATGGGAAGCATTTTCAGTAGGAGATGGTCTTACAGCTTTCTGTTATACTGTAACAGGGTAGCAGGTTCCCCATTGCACACCTCAGTGTGCATTTGTCCAGCTATGACCAGAGTTTGGAGAAGGCACTTGAATTGAATTTATCACAGTGGTTTGTTTGACCAACTTGCATTTACCAGCTTGTAAAAAGCTGTGTTCTTCCTAGTAGGGTATATTAATTTCCATGTGTGATAGTTCTAAGCTCCCACTAAATTTGAGGGGTTTGGGGTGATTTAAGTTCCATTCAGTTCTGCAGAAGCCTAGGGGCTTCCCACTCCCTTGCTTTCTCCTACCATCTCCTCTTCACATGTCCCACTTGCCACTCCCAGCTGGCACCCCTAGGGCCCCACTAGTCCATATATAGGTCTTTGTGCAAATCAGGAAATCACCTTACTTCCTCAAAACATCATATAATCATGTTCTGCTGAAACACTGCCATGAGAAAAATATATGATGCTTATGATAATTATGTTGTGAATGATGTGCTAATCATATATCTTCCTACCTAATGAGATGCTCCGGGAAGTTCCAGTGAGTTCTTCCAAATGGTCTTTCTTAATCAAAAGCTGCATGGTTTAATCACTACCTTTGAAACCTGGCAAAGAGGGAGGGCATGAGATGTAGTTGTAGCCAGAGAGAATTATTCTCTTTGTAAAGTGAGGCTACTCTTGCTTCTGAAAAATCATTACCTGCTCTCAGTTTGGACTCTTTCCAATAAACCACAAAAGAGACTCACAAGCCAACATGGGTCTTTGGGGGTGTCACTGTAGAACTAAGTTCATTGGAAAATATTTATGTTAAAGTCACTGCAATGAGAGTCTTAAATAGTACAGAAAATTTGATTTTGAAAATGCAAACTGGCTTCAGGATGAATGCTAACATTGTGTCTCTGTGTAGCAATTTAATGTCCAGAATCTTACAATATTTATTAACCCATTGTGAAAATTCTATTAGAGGTTAAGCCCCCTTTATATGTGTGAGTCTGAGTCAATTATAGGATAAGAAACTTGACCAAGTTCAAATCACATGATTTTACAGAGGGTCACAACTCATACTCAAGGCTGTGTTTAAATACATACTTTACCACATATACATGGTCCATTACAAAAACCAAAAAAATCTATAGTGCACTCACTCAGAAAGAAGTGTCCTTAACAACACAGTTGACAGGATGGCCTACTCCAAAAATGGATCTGTCTTCAGTGTGGTCCTGGATATCTCAGGAGTCCACAGAGCAACTCCCCCACATGTGCATCTGCCACACATTCCTGCCTGACCCCCACCCACGCCCATTAAAAGTTACATGTAAAGTTGAATTGGGCAAGGCACTTTCCAACAGTAGGGTCCTTAGTATATACTTTTATAGTGTGGCTTGGACTTACTTTCCTAGCTGGGGGGAACCAGTTGAAAGACTTTGCTTCCATATGAGTAGACATTCGATCAGAGTTGGCAACTGTGGAAGAAATGACATACTTCCAAGAGGACCACTTCCTCCAGTCTGTCACTGATGGGAAACTCCTTTGCTCCTCTGGAAAGAATAAGAACTTCTTAGAGGATATAAGTCTCTATATTGGTAAAGGTCCATGCTGCAGAAAAGATAGGAGCCCTTAGCATGGTGGTGTATTTGCCCTGTGGTTGTTGGTGATCATGGATGGGGAAAAAGGCACTGGGGTTTTCAGAGGCAGCTCATTTTCCATTAGGCCTCAGACTTCCCTACAATGTGCCTCTCTGCCCTTCAATTGCCAGGGTCAGTGCATCTATTTAAAACAAGAGATGCTGTCTTGAGTACAGCTTGTAATAAGCAGTTTATTCTGCTTTGAGTGCCCTAGCAAGTTATCTGATCTTTTCAAAACCAATTAGTACGTATCTATCATCTCATACTTTGGCCTATAATGACATTTCCTTTAGCTATATACTATGAGCTTGATATCACAGATATGGGAAGAATAGAAGATTAAGATTTTAAAAAAATTAAAATCCAGGGAAAGAAGATGAAACCATGAAGTCATTTAGCTCAACAGAGAATCTCCTTGGATGTTCTCAGAAACAGAGTCTTTAGCCCTCAGGGCTCAGACCCAGAAAAAACTTCTCAGAAGTTTTGTCCAAGGGTTGTGGTCCCTGCTTTTTTGAGGGGAGGAGCCTCGTACCTATTTAAAGGCACCTGGAATACCATAGGAAAGGGGTTCCCCACCACACAGTGGCACATGTGAAAATACAAAAATAAGGATTTTGTTTCCAAGATTTCATAAATAACTGGGTGGCAGGTATTAAATAGGACCACGGGAGAGAATGAGGATGTGGAGTTACAGCTTGTTCTCCTCAAAGAGGATCTGGGCATAGACAGTGCTGGTAGGGATGCCTCTGGCAGCCTGATGGGGCTTGATCAGCTCCAGCTCAGCATAGGTCAAGTTCTCCTCAGCAATCTTTGGCTGTAAGACAAAACACAACAAAATTCTGGCTGACCACAGGAAGTTCCATATCATACATTTATTCATCAGGCATGCACTTTCATTGCACTTTGGGCATTCAAAGAGGAACAAATGAATAAAAATTTACAAGGACATATAAAACCTAAATAACATAATATAGATCTCATGTCTCATATAGAACACTATGCCCTACAAACAAAACACTGTGACTTGTTTTCAAGTCAATACAGAACACTAACAAAAAAGTGATTAAACATTAGACCAAAGAAAACTTTAATTCTGAAAAGTAAAAGTAATGCAACTAGCAGTCTTTGATCAAAAGGAAAAAATAAAAGATAGAAACAGAAACAAAAATCTTAGAAATTAGTAACAAAACCAGAATTACCATCTAGGAATTTTCTTAAATGACTTAACCTGTATAAAACTAAAATTTAAGAATATCTTCAAAATAATAAAAACTTACTTGCTAGAACCTAAAAAAACACAATGTCAGAGAAAAATCATAGACTTAAATATTTACATTAAAAATATGAATTAAATGGATGAACCCTCCTACTGAAGAAGTTAGAAAAAGAACAAAATACATTAAAGAAAAGCAGAAAGAAGGACCAAAATTAAAACCAGATTGTGTGAATCAGAAAACAAGATAAAACAAACAGAAAAAATTTATTTATTAGAATTAATAAAAATATCCAAAAGCTTGTACTTGGAAAACACCAACAAAATAAATAAACTAAAAATACTGTAATCAAGATAAAAAGGGAAACACATAAATAAATAAAATAGGAAATAAGAAAATATAATGTAAATAAAGTAAAAACTTTAAAAATTCAAAAACTACCTTTCTCAACTTGTTGCAAAAAAAAAACCCCTAAAATACTCAGAATGAGTAATGTTCTAGAAAAATATAAATTATAAGCATTAACTCCAAAAATGAGTGTACTAATTATCATAAAAATAGAGAAGAAACTGAAAGAAGGAAGGAAGGAAGAAACAAGAAAGAAAAAATATTGTGATATACTCTTTCTCAAGAACACCAGGCCCAGGCAGTTTCATACAAATTTTTAAAAAATTTTTAAGGAACAAATAATTCCAATGTAATAAAATAATCAGTGCATTAGAAACAAAAGAAATTCAAATATTTTACAACAATCTCATTTATTGATATAAATTTTAAATAAAATTTACTAAGAAAGAATGAAGAAGTATATTAAAAGTTACATAATCAAGATAAGTTGATTTTATTTCAGGAATGCAAAGATACTTCAATATTACAAGAATCTATTTAGAATATTCTAAATTTAGAACCTAAAGAACCTATGTTTAGGTTTAGAACCTAAATTTAGGTTCTAAATTTAGGATATTCTCTATTTAGAATCAATATTAGAATAATAGTGGTAGATGAAAAAACGTTTTTGTTATCTTCATGGATACTGGAAAGGCATCTAATACAATTTTTAAATATTTTTGTTAAAAACAATTTTTGAATAAAGTAGTTACAGGTGTGTGTGTGTATAACCATGTTTAAGAAATATTATTGAAATAAATACTTGGTGATGCAACCCTAGTGATATTAAAAATCTAAAGCTGCCATCATTAAAATGTGGTACTGGCAAATGAAAAGATATAACATTAATGGAACTGATGAGCAAGTCTAGAAATGACACCCACCTCATTTCAACAACTGATGGAGGGATATGTGAATAGTCTTTTGAAAAAACATTATATCCTTGTATCAGTCTTTATACCAGAGGAGTTCCAGATGAATTAAACATTTTAATGTGGAAATAAATTCATAAAAGTGCTAGAAGAATGTGTAAATAATCTCAGCATATGAAATGCCTTTTAAAGCATGATATAATAATCCAGAAGCAATAGAGAAAAGATCTGGACATCTTCATGCTATATAAGGCAAAATATTCTCTAAATAAAGTCAAGGAACAATTTAAAAACTGGGGGAAATATCTGTAACTTATATCAAGGGGCTTTACAACTCAACACAATATGGCTCACAATCCTTCAAAAAATGAAGCAGAGAATAATGACTAGAGAGTTCACAGGAGAGGAAATACAAGTGACTCTTATGAAATGAGAGTCAATCTCTCTCCTAATAAGAGAATTGTGATTTAAAAATCACACTTACACTATACATCACTTTTTTGTCTTTCAGAAGAACAAACTGACATTGCCAGAAGGGAGAGGGTGAGAGGATGGGTAAAAAAAGGTGAAGAAAAATAAGAAGTACAAACTTCCAGTTTAAAATAAGTCATGGTGTTGTAATGCACAGCACAGGGAACATAGAACATAGTTGATAATTTTGTAATAACTTTGCACATTGACAGATGGTTACCAGACTTATTGTGGTGATTATATTGTAAGGAATACAAATATTGAGTCATTATGTTGTACACCTGACACTAATATAATATGGATGCCAACTACACTTTAATAAAATTTTTAAAAAGGTAAAGGGATTAGCCAAAGAACATATATGCATAACCCACAGACACAGCCAATAGTGTGGGGATGGCCAGAGGAAAGGGGGGGTGAAGGCGGGGAGGAGGGTGGCAAAGGGGGATAAAATGAGGATGCCTGTAATAGTGTAAACAATAAAAATAAAAAAAACAATAAATTGCTAAAAGAAAACAATAAATTTGCTAAATAGAAAGAAACAGGTCCTATTGTGTATTGTTGGTGAAAATGTTCATTGGTATAAGCAAGACTCTGGAAACACTTGCATTAACATCAACAGAAAGACTGGTGCATCCCTCCAATGGTGCATATGCTGTGATCTTTACAAGGAGTAATATATATATGCTGTATGTTTTACTATCATTAAGTATATGTGTATATATTTATATGCTTAGAAAATCCTTGGAACCTGCTTGAAAAATCAAGAGTATGCACTTTTCTCTCTGGGGAAGTAAACTACATGATCAAATGGACACCTCCCTCTTTATTGTATGCATTTGTTTATATCTTTTGAATTTTCTGGTAGGCACATGCATTCAAACATGTTAATTAATGTTAATTCATAATTAGAGAAATACAAGTCATTACCTAAATTACGGTCACAAAAGGCACATGGACCCATTTAAGCAGCCACACTTTTGCTTTTGGTTTTTGGCTTTGGTTGTGCTGTTACTTTGTCCTGATTTTTGTTCTTTTGTGCTTAGATCTTGTTTATCTTGCCAAAATTCAGGACAAACACTTTGCATATAATTTTTCTTAAAGGAAGAATGTCAAAAGCAGAAAGCCCCTTTGCTTCTGAATAAGATATAATAGGAACATGGAGCAAGACACAAAGAGAGTATCTCCAGAATTCCTTACAGCCAGTATATACTGGTCAGAGCCAAATGCCAAGTGACCACTGGCATTGGCCAGTGAATTGGCCATTTTTTAATTTCAAAGTTAAGGACGTTTATAGGGATGAAAACCTCCTGTTTGTCTTTTGACACCAAAACTCTACACTGCTTCTAAGTTGTCCATATCTTACAAGCCAACAAAAATCCCATTTACATCTTGCCTTTGGTTTAATTACATTTTACATTATAATTCCATTTAGAAATGCCATGTGTCCTAAAATAAGCACTCAAAACCCAACTCATGTAAATTTTAGAACCAATATTTATGAAATCATATTGTCCAGGTGTTTTATTACATTATCCTGAAATTGCATTGTTTTCTAGTGTAGATTATCTGTTTATTCTTAAGTTATTCCATTATGTTTGGATATGAAAAATAACACTAGCTTTCTCAATACAGGTCACCAGACTGGCTTGGCTGGTGTGTTGTATTCATACATTTTTATGATGTTTCTATAGTAAACATAATTTAATAAAGCCAAAGCACACTAAATAAATAATTGCATCTAGAAAAGCAATAAAAACAAATAAAATTAGTACTTTCATAAGTGGAAAGGTACTTCAATTACTGCTACAAGCACCAACCCCCTCCCCATAAAGTGTGTAGAATCATTTCCCTTATGCATATTTCTGGGATATAATAATTTGATTGAAGATATGAGGCAGCACACAGGAGGCTCTGAATTATGAAGTGTATACAGTTTCCAATAGAAGATGCATAATATCAGTCCTTGGCACCTTTAAAGAACCTACTGTTTGTCTGGCATGCACACTTGATTGTTACAATCAACCGTGTGTTAATTACATCTTCCATCGTGTTTAACTGGAAATAAATTCCTAAGGGCAAGTGAAAGAGGCAAGTGTAGACTCCTCACCAGCCTTTTTCATGCTACCTTTCTTCACACCCACATTTCAGTGGAGGGTTTGGGTGCACTGAGAAGTAGCTCAGAGAAAAGTATCAGTTTATCAGTAAGATTGGGTAAGGCTCTAGAATGGTAATAAACAGGAGCCAGGAGCAGAATATAAAGGTGAAAGTAATTGCAGTGGGATGGAGACAGGGTGAGAGCCTGCTGCAGAACCCAGCCTGTACTTCAGGTGAAGAATGCAATCTTGGCCAATTCACGGCAGTCCTGGGTTTCAGCTAAAGAATATCTCCTTGTGCCTATGGCAATTCAAGGACTGGAGTACAGTAGGTCTCTGGAGATGAATCAAGAAGCTCTTCTGTTATATCTCTGCCATCTACTAGCCTTCAAAATGACTCCTTCAAGACCCCATCCTGTTCATGGGGGTGCAGGAAGTACACAAGTGTATGGGGCATTAGTACTCAAGACTACAAACGAAGTACTCTTGAGCTGGTTATTCACACTTTAGGTTCCACTGAAACACACAGGAAACTGATGAAAATGGGATTTACATTTGTACCTTGACACATGTACCTGATGTTGTTCTATTTACTGGAAGTCAGGAGGGAGAAGGAACAGACAGCAGAAGTGAACCAATAGCTGGAAGCCCAGGTAGGGTCCTTTAGAAACAGCCTGGAATGTTCTAAACATGCAAGAAGCAACTGAGCCATTTCCTCTTTCCCAGGACTGTTTGGTTTACTTTCTGTTCCTTTCACCATCCTGCAGACACTCC